TATATTTAGATGTTAGACGCTGCTCAGAGTCACGTGATCGAAAGCAACACTTTACATTGCACACATTCCCAGTCTGCAGCGCAAACAAAAGTGGGTGGTGTCTGCTAAAGTTTCAAGTTTAAATTTGATCTCAATGCTACCGAAAGCCTTTCATCTTTTATAATATTTGTGCTAAATATTCAGTCGACTTTTGTTTTATTCCTGTGGGCCGACGCGTCAAGTGCTGCGACTTTCTTTTCGCGTTCATTCATCGCGAGGGCGTTCATCGGTCGCTTTTCTTAGTTTTTTTCCTAGTTTCTTCTTTAGCAAACGCCACCAAAGCATTCATTGCAGCGGCGCCTACTCACAATGACATGTAATTACTCTGAAGTGTCCCGAGCGCATCCCGCCCTCTTGAGTGTTCATGAAAAACACAAGAAGTAAAAAAAGAAAGGAAAGATACGCTTTTTCTTCCTAACCTGTATGGAGGTATGCCTACATTACATTTCGCTGCTGCTTAAGTTGTGATCTCTTCAAAAACTAGGTTAGTTAAAATTCGCGCGAATACATATACAACCAGAAGTGCATCTTCTTCCAAGCCACTGGATATTATTTTAGACACTTCGATGCTCTGGCGTTAATTCAATTTCGCTCAACGTGCGTTTACTGCAAGAAATTTATCAGAGCGTAAGAACGAGGTAAAACAACGACCTAGTAATATTGAATTTCGATATTAATACTGCATCACCACGTAGTGGTAGAAATAATTAATGTTTATAAACAACGCAAATTACAGGTCATTAATATTACTAATCTGCATCAAAATTTTATTCATTACCAAAAAGTTGATAATGTTGAAATTCATCAATCATTTCGACTTGTTCTTGTGTCGCAAGAGATTAAAATATTCGTAACAATTTATTTTAACTTCTTATCAAAAGTTTTCTCTACGTATTTCTAGTATGCCCATAAAAGTCTCGATTACTTATTATTATTCCATTTGCATTCCAGACAGCATTTAATTATTGCTCGTGCATTTAGAACTACACGTCCATTAGCGTGGTGAACACGCATTTCCACACACGAATAAACGAACAACAAACTGATAATAATTTATGAAATTCTATTATGTCCCCGCCTGCGTGCGCTCTACTTTGTGACACACGAGCGCAGAAAGGTAAAGTATCATAGAGGCACCAAAAGAGCGAGTGAATAAGGAAGCAACGCAATTATTACAACGAATTGGTGCGTATCAAATGGCGTTTTATTGTTTTCGGTTGTGGTATTGTTCGTGGTATATGTGTGAAAGTGTGCCGGAGTTTCGTAAACATAAGAAATCATTCGCTGAAAATTATTTCGACGTTCTGCTTCCCAACACGGGTGTTATTAATTTTGTTCAAATTAATTAAATAGTAATTAATCAAATTAGTAACAAACGCATGTTTTTATTTATTTTGGCGAGGTATAAAGGGTACGATAAGAAACACTAGTGTCGCATCTTGTCATATAATAATTGGTATACTTGAAGAAAACCTCTTAACATCCTCTGCAAAGAGCACAAGTAGACGAAGAAACTTATATTTCTCTTTAAGTGCTGCTCCTAATTATCAACGCTGTGCAGTATACAGTTTCGCGTCTATATAGACCGTAGAAAACTCGTTAATAAATTAAAAACAATTTCAGAAATATGCAAAAATAAAAATAATTTATAGCGGTATTATGCGCGCATTAAACAACTCGGAATGTCGTTTATGCGTCGCTCTGGAATGCATTACCATACACAAACATATAAATTATCTAAACTTTATTGAAACTAAATCTTCGTTTATATCATTCACGTTGACGTGGTTGTCGTTGCATTAATAATCCAAACGCGCTGTGAAAGAAGACATCATGATAGCGGCGTAATTTAGCAAATAAAATGCCACCGCAAAATGAACACTAATGTGGCAATTATGGCACTTGCGTGTCACCAAATAGACTCATCGCGAAGGGAAGCACACCCATTAAAGATATGCGCGGTGAGCGGCAACCTTCATAGCATTGCGTGCGCGAATAATTAATCTCTGGTTGCGTTCGAAGATATGACACACAAGTTGCAGCAGTTTTACCAGGAGAGACAATTATATGTCATCGCATGGGATAATTTTATGTTTGCCACAAAATGATAATCTTTAATTACTTCCTGTTCAATTATCCTCATTAAAAGTGGTTGGGTACGTGCAGACATTTAACATACGTGTCATTATTTTCGCTTTTCATTCAGTGACAATTGCGAAAAGTGAAATTTCAATGTATTACAATGAGATATTCCCACTACAAAGTAGAACAAAGTTGTAAGTTAACGGAAGAACGCGATGATTAAACTGGTGAAAGAAATTTGCAGTAATTGAATTTTCTATTTGCTCGAGGATGCAACACTCAACGCAAGAAGAAATTGAAAGTTGCAACTTAGTGTTGTGGTCGAGATAGCCATCCACATCTACAAGTCCGGCTGCTGTGCGTTCGGAGACCACAGGGACTGAGCGCAAGAGCGGCGCAGGAACACCCGCAACACCCGCGAAATGCCACATTCCACGACTGGGTGACCTTGAACTGGACACGCGATGCCTTCTCGGCGGCGCACACATGCCCAATAAACATCCGCGCCTTCGATTTTCAGAGTCGATGTAAACAGAGAGGGCACCGCGAAGACGTCGCCTGATTAAACGCTGAGGTCATCATCGAGAACACACTATACGCTGACCCTCGTCGGACATAAACCATTCTTGCGGGGTTTGTGGGATACCTTCATAAGCTCGTCCCTTGCCCTTTAGCACAACCAAACGAGCGGTTCTAGTCATTTATAAAACGAGTGTTTTCTTAACAAAAGCGTATAGCCGTATCAACAGCGATAATCGTGCTCGTTCCCTCTAGCTGTTGTCATAACGCCGGATGAACGAAAAAAACAGCGTCATGTAAAAAATATCGCGCGAGACAGAACGAAATGGCACTTAAGGTTTCGCACTCGTAGGACTGTCTGTGTTGTAAATTAGAGTTAGGCAAATTGCTCTCTTAACGCGCGTGTAAACCGCCGACGCGTAACGACATCAAATTAATAATAAAAAGTACCATGTCACTGGGCGTCCATCGAAAGAGCGAATAAAGCGGAAAAGTTACTCACTCTGCGCTGCGAAAGCAAGAAATGAATGAGATGAATAAAAAAGGAAGCGGAGATAATCGTGTTGGTTAACTATACGTCCGCGGATGGCTGGCAGGACATCGTGGCAAGACACTTTTTGTGCTATTTTATATTCAAATGCGAATTTGAATGAAAATGCGATGTGCGGCGCCTCTCGCTTTGTGCCATCGCCGCAGTCACAATGTGTGCGCAAGGAAAAGAAGAGAAAAGTCTCTTCGAACGCAGCGCACAACGTCGAGCAGCAGAAAAAAAAACGGAACGTGTCAGTCGTGCTGCTTTCCAAATTTGTATAATACGTTTCCATTTCAAGGATCCCGGCGACGCGTTTCCTCTTGTAGCCGGGTAGGAACGTGAAATTGCGCACACTTTTCTGAATGTACATAATATGCCCATAAATGGAGATGTAAATGTGGGCACGAAAACTTCATGAGGGTGATAGAATTGAACTTTTACACTTGGAGGACAAATACATTTCGAAAATATTAAGTAAGGTGTGTTTTGTGTTGTATGTGGAAATGTTGCGTGGCGAATACGAAAAGAAAAGTAGGTGGAAAAGATGATAAGGAAGGAAAGCTTCGATACATCATCTGTCCATTTCCTTTAACGTCCTTCGTGCAATTTTCGTTGCTTCTCGCTCTTGTAACGGCGTCCGCCCTCGTCATGTTGACGAGCTTATGTGTCCCAAAAGAATATTGACAAAGTTCTTTACCACGAGATGTGGGGAAATCCATAATAACAGAATCACTACTAGTGCACGAACAGATCACTAATATTCCAACGTATCATAAATCATTATATTTGTTTGTATGATTTACTTTATTTATCTTCTTGTGGGAAAAAATAAAAAATAAAAAGCTCTTGACCCCACTTTTATGAAAACATTTTTATTTCAAAGCGTGCGCTGCCAACTCCGTTAGATTTAAATGAATAAAATGATATAGAATCCCATCTGATGTAAATTTCAATTCATCTCTTTGCGTGCTGAGGACTGGCGTCTATAAATTCGCCCAATACATACGCAGAGACGTAGAAGACGTAAGCAGTAAGCACGTCTACTTTATTCGATTCCCCAACGTTATCCCACTTGATACGCTTCACCCACCCACATTTACTCACACGCACACATGAATGTGTGTTAAGATAAAGCGGTGTATCGCCGTGTTTCTCCACCGCAGGTTGCAATTCGAGGCGATAGATTTTCACGCAAACAGCGCAATAAACATCACGAAAGGGACGTGTGTGATGCCGAAAGCCCACCAGTTCAACGAAACACAAATAAAGTGTATTCGGACGTAGGCGTAGGTGAAAATCGTAAAAGGTTTTCGTTTGGGGGCTTTGCTCTAACGACCACAAGGGCCCGCAAAATCAACTGTCTTTCCTGCGCAGCAGATTTTATGTTTCGCAACGAGAATCAAAATCGACTGACATGTCATTCCTGCGTCTCGCGCAAAAGATGTGATGCGGAAATGTGCAAATACGAAACGTGCACCGCCAGTTGCATGATTTTTTTGCCTGTTGTATTTTCTATGTGTCGCACGTGTTAGGTGAAATATTAGGCGCAAGATATTCGTATGTCTTGTACCAACATACGCTCGAATGCGTACGTGTAGCAAAAATGCCACTAGACTCTGGAGAGATCCGTCAAGACAATTTCCAATTCGCACGTCGGCGCGTCGCAATGCGCAGGAAAAATTCACCCGGCGCGGGAAACACGCAAAAATGAGCAAATGTAAATGCATACGACACGTATCGCACATACTCGCTGATTTCCGCATTCTCACCTCACACTATGGCAACATTTGCGACATTGTTTTGTAGGGAATATGTTAAAGTTACTCACCGTTTCTCCGCAGTGGTCTGATTCCTTCATACCATTTCTCTTTTCGTAGGTCCCCTCTGCAAAACAAATATCACAATTAATATTTCAAACAATCAATTAACATCATCCGCAAACATTTTTTTTCATTAAGCCTATAAACTTTTTTAAATGCTCCACGCCTCAGGAGACAAAAGAACCCAGCCGCGCGAGCGAAAACTGGGTTTATAAAACAATTAATAAAAATGCAAATGAAGCGTTTTAATTGCGAGAGGCAGTGATAAGAAGAAAAGCCTCGAAAATGACATTTCGTTGCCATTAGATGCGCGTTTTTATAATGGTAATTCTTAATTGAATGAAACAACGAATAAAAATGCAAATTTATGTGGTGTACGACGAACAAGAAGAATTACTACTCCATAGCAGAGAAATAATTTGCAAAACGCTAGGTGTTGACTAGAATGCAGTAAGTGAATTTTTTTATCAACGCGCAAATTTTTGATCTCCTTGCATGCGATGCATGCGAATTCAGTTAAAGACTACATACTTTCACTTTACTCTCAACTAAAAGTCTCGACTATCTCTACTTGCGCTCATATAAGCAATGCAATGACAAAAGCGTTGCAATCGAAAACGTGATTGCGCTTCCAACGTACTCGACGGCAGCATACAACGAAGCAACGGGCGATCATTGTGATTGCCGACAAACTAGATGAGATTCTCCTCTTTACCTTCTCCAGTGCTACTACTTGCAGCGGAGTGTTGCCGCTAGACCTCATCTCAACCTCATTTCGTTCGCTGGCGAACACTAAATTGCAATAAACTAATGAAACTTGGCGTTTTCATTGTGTGTGCGTGCAACAACCACGGGTACTCCAGACGACGACTTTAATTAAACTCCTCATGCAAACAATATGTTTATTTAATTGTTTAATTATTTTCCTGCTGTCGTTCAAGCGCCGCAAGTAGCGTTAGGGTAAATTATTAAAAATGTGCCGGTTGCGGTGGAAAAATGCAACTTCCTGCGGTAGCTAGCTTTCTCGTTAGCCAAACTAGCGGTACAATGTCGAACGAAATGCTCGTGCATTCATTAACACAGAATGTAATAATAATAACAGACACTAAGCGCCGGTAGCTAAACGGGGCCGGAAACGCACTTTTCTCATTTTAAATCTTACCAACTGTGATGGAACCGTTAGTGACATAATTTACAGGTAGTGTAAATTGTCTATTAACATTATTATCGAAGTTATTGACCGGAATAATTTTTTCGTTGTTTGAAATAAAAAAAAAATATATTTTGTCGGCGCCTCCGCCAAATTGTGCAATTTATATCCACTAAAAAGAAATTTGCATTAAAAAGTAATAATCGAACAGGTTTTTCTCTAATATTATCCATTCTCTTCGTATATTCAAAGATGTTTTTCTCATCTTAGCAACATTACCTCTCTATATAATATATATTCTATTTCAATCAGGTTCTATCCGTAAAGCTCGCCGGCAAAATGAGATTTCCAAAGAAAAGCGATTCTAAAGTTACATTTAAAGACGACTTTAAAGGATTTCCCTCTCGCATAGATGCATAGCGGCGAATTTTCTATGCGATACATTTTCAAAGTTTTGATATATCAGTGCTGGCGCACTGCACAGTTGCTCAGTGCCTTCTTTCTAATGACATTGACATAATGCGAATATTACGAATTCCATTGCGAAGACGGCGCGAGGCGTCAACGACACCGTCGCTCAGCGGAACTTTGTCGCAATAGCAACATAACGACAAAGGCTCTTGAGAACGCAAACGCGCGCCGGCACTGATATTGTACATTCACGAGACACAATGTCATTGAATAACTTGCGATACTTTCGTTTCGGGCTTAATGGCGGTAGCATATGGTTGACAATCTCTCAGACTTTGGTTTAATATGCTTCATGCTTCAATAATGTACGTGTGGTAAGGGAATTTTTCAGTGAGATTTTCATTCAAGCCAGGAATTCTCTCTCGCATGGCGGGCGAGTGCAAAGAAGCATAATTAATAATCGGTAGCAGCGCACACGCTGGCAATCACTGAGTAACGTGTGCGCGAAGGAAAGCGACGTATAAAGTATAAACACTGAGGTGATTAATGAAAGATTGCTGTTGAACCACGTCATCATCATAACGCGTCGAACAAAACTCCACTCTGAACTTTGGTTATGCTTTCGAAGTTAACAATTAAAAATGTTTGACGTGCCAAACACCTTACCACCCACATTTGAACATAACTTTTACTGATGTACATTGTAACGACAATAATGTTCATGCATGAGGAGCGTCTCTAGTACAAGTTCTCTGCTTGTTTGCTGCGAGTTTACTGCCGTGCCCCAAACGAGCGAAATGGAAATGTGAAACAAACTTTTTCCAGATGGTTTCGCTCGTTTACTCAGATGCAGTGCGCGCGTTAATGTCGCGATTGTAAACGTAGCAAAATGTCGAACGACGAACACGCAGGTATGGAATTGAAAAAGTGGAAAACTAAAGCAAAGTTTAAATTGTGTTTTCGAAACTTTTCTCTGTGCGCAAAAGCAAACATTGTCACGAACGGCATTGGATTTTAGTAATATTTAAATTTCAAATTCGTGTAAATCTTTCGTTGAAATACAATTTGCATTCACATAAAATAAGAGCATTAACTGGACTCGGGAGGGGGTTTTCGCAACGAGACGCGTGAAATATGCGGCCGGCAAGCGTGTAAACGTAAAGAATAGTTTTCGAGCGCTAGGAGAGGAAAGCAATACGGTCCTAAGGGAGATTAACGAACAGTTTTTCGCATTAATCACAGTAGTTGATTACACCGACGGCGCGCGGCGCCTCCGGGCAGCGCGAGAACTCAAGAGGACGACGACGAGGACGATAGCAGTCTGGAAACGTGCGCGCGGAGAGTCGGAGTCTATACCACTAGCGATTTTTCTTATTTTTCTCGGGTTCGCACTTTGTGGCGCGCGGGACACACACGTCGTGTATCTTCCACACGTCTCAAAGTGTGTAGCCACAAAGGCAATGCGAAACGTTTTTCTACTTTCGCTCGTCTTATCGTTGCACTTATCGGATGGACGTAAACTTTTGCAGTTTCGCACGGCTCTTAGCGCGCCCGGACCGGGAAAGCAGCTAGTTCACAAGAGGGCAACTTCCTTTATTTATAGAAAGCACAAAAAAACACACCAGATTTTTCTTTGTCTCAGATTTTCGGCGCCGAAAAAACTTTTAAAACTTTTTAATAGAAAAAACGAACTAGTTACGAAGATAAAAAGTTAATTTATACACTTCTTATAAATTAATTCACGCGAAATAATATGCTGTAATACTACTCCAGATTCAGACGCATAAATCAGCTAGTTTATTTCTTTGTCCTAGTATGTTAGAAGTCTTGAACCGGTTTTAGAAATGCAAATAGCGAAAAGTTTCGCGCTTGTATTAACATAAACTTACATCGTACAACGACACGAATGTCAATGCTTAAACTTAATTTGTAACGAGTTTACGAAATGCTTTACCCAGAGAGACGAGTATAAATTGAAATTTGAACTCACATTACACATGTAAGAATATTGCCTAAAGATTCAGCCGTTCTATAATCTTCGGTAATACCGAAAATCGACAAAGAGCTAATTATAATATAATTTATGCGCTTGGACGTGAATTTAATTAACGCGGCGTGAAAATTCTCCAGCTGGATTCTCCATAATTCCATTACGCCGTGAAACGTGCAAACAGTTATCTTCATTTTCGCATTTGCGAACGTGCACAAAACTAGCGCATAAACGAACAACATTCGCGGAAACACGTCCTGGCGCGCGCTCACACCAGACAATCGCGCATTTGCGAAACTCGAATTTAAAGCGACGCAAAATTTATCGCTATTGTCTTAATATCCATTTCGGAATGTGAAACAAAGCATTAATCTAGTTGTCTTAGTGAGACGCGCGCCTCGTCACAATATCTAACTTCGTCCATCCGGACTTTTGTCTCTTCGCTGCGCTTCAAATCCTCAAACTAAACAAAGTATATATTTCCTATAACAGTATGCGTAGGAAAAATATAGGTGCAACATTTTCACTCATAAATAACAAACGATTTCGTGCGTGAAAACCAAATGTGTTCTATGGCTTTATACAGCCGATGGGCATTCGATTTCCATATGGGTTGGTTTAGCGTGTGCATGCTTTGTGTGTGGCATCGTCGTGATCTAACGCCTTCGCAAACTTAACTTATGTCCACGCCGTCGATATCTATTTTCTCCACGGCACAAGCTCAGCAACAAGAAGATATAAAGATGTAAGTGAAGTGAAGGCAATTTTTGGCGGTGGCAAGAATATTGAAATACGAGCACATTGCAGACAATGGAACAAATCCAAACAATTAGTTATTAAACAATAATCCAACCGACAAAATTTGTTTTCTTTCCGCGTGCAGGCTATTAACCATTGTCTGATTGTATTTCTCGTATTGTTCTGTGCTTTCGTTTGGCGTTTGTCTTCCTGTTTTCAGTGCACGGACGCGCTGGAAATCACCGCCAACATCTGCCACATCTTGTAACAATGCGAAAGAACATGTTGATATTCAGCAGATACACATCGAGTACACGTAGAGAGAATTACCATTTCAAAGAGCAATTTATAAAGAATGCTGCAATATTTTTTCTATCGCGGCCATCGAAGCAAGTCAAACAAGCGGCGAGTAGGAAGCTAAAGAGTGGAACGAACCAAAGCGAACGTGCCTAGATAACGGTATGCACCCGTGTTCGTTTCGCTAGCGTTTCGTTGCACAAATATCAGATAATTGCCGTTCATTTAGAAACGTTTAAATTAATATTTTACTGAAGAGGACTCGAATAAAGACGTGTAAAATGAGTTGCCTACATATAAAATTGCATACGTTTAAATTTGCTTAACATGTCAAGTGATAAAAAACAAATTTGCACGCATAAAAATAAAATACACGTTTTACTCCAAACTGCTATTTAACCAGCGCGTACAACTGAGTAATTTACGTACGCTGCTATGTCTACTCTATTATTTTCGCAGAGAGACATTGAATGAACGG